CCTATACTTCCTGCCTGGTCACTGGCCATCAGTGTTTTATTTATATAGAGTGATATCCACAGCATAGCGTGATTCCCAGAGTCCACATCAGAAAATCTAGGCATGGCGATGGACACTTGTAACCCCAGCACTGGGGAAGAGGACACAGGAGGATTCTCCTGGGCTCCCTGGTCACCTAGTCTAGCATAGCTCCAGGCCAAGGAGAGACCCTACCTCCAAAGAGGTGCACAGCATTCCTGAGGATGACAGCTGGAGTCCTTTGCTGGCCTCTCTACAAATGTGTACCATACACACATGCACGAGCATGCTAACACCTTGAAAAATAATTCTCTTAAAAAAAATCAGAATATGACTATTTAACTGGTTAGTGACTTCTCGTCCTCTAGCCTAGAGTTTATACCAGTGATTGTCAAACAGAAAACCATCAACAGTGGGGTGGTGGGGGTGACCTTCAGTCTTTAGGAGAGGGTTGGAAAGTCCCTCTCAAGAAGGCATGGCCCCTGATGGAAATCATGGTTAATGTTTATTTAGCATGGTATAATTTGCCACATTGACAGTCAAAAAGGTAGAGGATCATTATTTTAGGTGAAAACTTTCCAGAGTGTTCTTCGTGTAAGAGTCATCTTGGGTACTTCCCTAGACCAGTGCTTGGACTCTCTCCTCTAAAGATTCATTAAAGTCACAGATGGACTTCATGATAAGTCCGAGGAAACCAGCAAGTTCAGACAATGCTGTCTCAGATTAACCTTCCCAGGAATCATGTCATTATCAAAATATGGCCTCCTTTGCTCCTGCTGAATGGAAGGAGGCATGTTTCCCCCACCATCCTACAGTAGGCTCTAAAGGGGGTCTGCCCTGTGCCATAGGAACTCCATACTCTTCTGCTGTAGTGGAAGTGAGACCATCCAAAAAGAGCAATTTGTTAGTCAATCACAGAGACCCATTTCCTCCTCAATCACTGGGGTTCAGCCAGCCAGAGTCCCCTGAGTAAGGCGATGTGTACCACCCTCTACCCTAACCACTCCTGCCCTCTCCTCAGCTATGAGCAATCACAGTGGACCCCAGGCTTCCTCTTCTGATAAATAGGGAGTGGAGCCCCGACTTCTGCCCTATTGGAATCAATTGCACTCTTTCTCTTCTCCCAGAAGTGGCTCCTGATAATCCCCATGATACTTGTCCTTCACTACCAAGCATATCAAAGTACACAAGGTTAGTGGTCCTTGGATCCTGAGGGAAGAGTGACAAACAGATTAGTCATAGCAGTTTGGCCTCTGAATGAAATAGGAAATAGAAAATGATCCTCCTTGAGACAGTGTTCCTCCACTTATGCTAAGTCTGTCTCCACTTTGGTCCCACAGGACTCCCACCTGTTGGAGTGGGAGTTGGTTTCAGGCTGCTGGTTCCAGAGAAGTCAGGAATAACTTCTGGAAGTCCCTCTCCAATGCCACTGTCCTAGTTAGAGTTACTACTGCTATGATGAAACATCATGATCAAAAGCAAGTTAGGGAGGAAAAGGTTTATCTGGCTTACACTTCCACATTGTAGTCCATCACTGAAGGAAGTTGGGATAGGCACTTAAGCAGGGCTGGAACCTGGGAACAGGAGCTGATGCAGAAGCCATGGAGGACTGCTGCTTCCTGGCTTGCTCGACATGGCTTGATCAGCCTGCTTTCTTATAGAACTCAAGACCACCAGCCCAGGGGTGGCACCACCCACAATGCACTGGGCCCTCATCAATTACTAATTAAGAAAATGCCCCACAGGCAGATCTTATGGAGGCATTTTCTCAATTGAGGTTCCATCATTTCAGAGGACTCTAGCTTGTGTCAAGTTGACATAAAACTAGCCAGCACACACACTCACAGGCTTCTCCTACATACCCCCTTCACCCACTATTTCCATACTGTTAGAACCAATTTTTGCTGGCCATAAACCACTCCACCCATTGCTCCCACACCCTTCTGGTGTATCCTCCAAGATCCTATCTCACAATCACAAGCTTTCTCATCTCATTATACCCGTGATCTGTGGTCCAGATTAATCTCGCTCCCCTTTAAGTTGCTTTTGTTGGAATATTTTAACATGGCAACAGGAAAAGCAACCAGGACAGGGGTGTTATGGTAAAATGTCACAGATGAAGTGGCTTAATCAACTAAAATTTGTTTTCAAACATTGGGTGCTAGACGTCTTAGATTGAGGCTTCTCTCCTGCACTTGTGAGTGTTCCTCTTAGGACTACATCCTCTGTGGTCTTTCCTCCATGCGCACCCATCCCTGTTAACTCTGTAGGTTCCCATGCCCTCTGCCTATAAGAATGCCACCAGCTAGGCGCCCCTAACAGCCTCACTAAACCTCCCCTAGAAAGGCATTGCCTTCAAACACACACAGGACCGTCCCTTCAGGGCCCTGCTTACTCTTTCTGACTTTACAGTAGCTCAAAATCAATCTGCACAACTCAGAAAACATACTTCTTCAATAAGGATCATTTCCCGAGCCAGCAATACGTAACGTGATCCTCGTTTCTGAAACCAGGCGGCAGCCGCCCATCGCAGCAGCTCCCAGATAGCCATGAGATTATAATGGCCACCGGCCAGCGATGCACAGGGTACTACTATACCGTTAGGCTGTCAGTTTTAGTAGGTAAGTGTTTTAAATGCATTTTTACTTGTATTTTCAGACGACGATGGGTTATCAGATAAGGCCCTAATGAGCCAAGGAAGAGCTGTGTGGTCACATTCTGGTGTCTGGGGCAAGGGCTTCACTATGTAAATTGGGGGGAATCACAACTCATCCCATAACAACGACCTAAGCAAAGGCAATGTTCCTGCTCCCCAACTCCTCCTTGTTGTGTTCCCATTGGCTCCCCCCTCACTCCGCTGTTATTTCTCCCCATACCTTCCTTTCTCATTCCCTCCCTCCCTTCAGCATTCCACCGTTTTTTTGCCTGTTTTTTTGTTTTGTTTTTTTGACAAAGGGTCTCCAGGAGCCCACACTACCCTTGCATTTGCTATGTAGCAAAAATGACCTTGAACTCCTAATCCTCCAGCCTCCACCTGCTGGGATTACAAGAGTGTGTAAAATCACCCAGTTTATGCAGGCCTGGGGATCAAACCCAAGGCCTTGTGAATGTCAGGCAAGCGCCTTCCCAACTCAGCTACACCCCCAGCCCTCATTCCATCCAATTCAGAACCTTTTCATCATCTCCAAAAAACCTGTGCTCATTAGCAGTCACTCCTCATTTTCCATCAGCCGCATTGTATAAATTTATCTTAGAAATGCACTCACATTCCTTATTGATCAGTCGACAGGAGGTCTCCACATTGAATCGGGATTCCACTCAATCACGGCCCAGCCAAGACCTCGGTGTCGCCAAGTCTGAGAATCATCTTCGTCCGACACTGTTTATTCTCCTTGTTCTCTCAGGAACATCTTCCTCGGAAGGAGGCTCTTCCTGGGCTCCCTGACATACCTTCCAGCTTTCATCTCTCCGTGGATATGTATTTTAGCCTCGTCTGCCGTGGGCCCCTCTTGCCTCACTTGTAACATTTGGTTCTCCTGTGGACCTCCTCTCACTCCTTCCAGTATGTCATTTCCACCCCCAGGGACATTCATTGCTATTATTTGCTGACTGTTGTTAGATGTATATCTCTACCTCATGCTTCTTTTCTGAGTCCCAGACGAATACCAACTTCTCGGTGTGACATCTCCGGTCACACACTTCGAACTTCAAATACATCATCCCCCCCTCACAATGTGGGCTACTCAGCATCCCCTGCCTGGCACCAGCACCCTGTAAGTGCTCAGACAAGAGGAGGAGCCCCGCTGGCTCCATCTCTCCATCCGACTGATTGGCAGTTGCTGTCCATTTCCTTTCAAGACCACTCGTGTTCCCCGCTGCCATCCCCGCTGCCATCGCTGCTGGATGGTGGCAAGGCTTCACTGCTCTCATTCTGCCCGCCCCCCATCCTCTCCAGTCAGGAAGTGACATGGGTGGTAACACCAGCAAAAGGTGGTACACAGCCTCTGTGTTTCTTTTCTGAACGCCCGAAATACAGTTACTCAATACGCAACCATTTTAGTCACAGTGTAGCAGGTTCTGACTATAAAGATCATCCAATAATAAATAATAAACAGAAGGATGCAAAACAATTGCCCTAAGCATTCTCAAGTGAAGAACTAAACTACCAGGTTTAGAGAGACTCAGCACGAGGCGATTGAAAGCGCAAGCATTTTCACGTACCAAAGAGCCGCTAACATGATCCCAAGAACAGGACGGATGGTGTACAGATCAAATTCCCAAGGTGAGATGGATACGGTGGTCAGTCTTCTCCTCATTTTCTGTTGCACCGTCACATGGCGTTCTGATTCTTTTCCTTTGGTTCACCAATCAGCCGACTCTATTGACAAGATCCAGGTTGGTTACATGTTGTAGAAAGTGTACAATACAAAATCCACAAGAAAGTTCTCCCCTTCGGCGGTGGTGGCGCATACCTTTAATCTCAGTACTTGGGGAGGCAGAGCCAGGCGGATCTCTGTGAGTTTGAGGCTACAGAGTTCCAGGACAGGATCCAAAGCTACAGCGAAACCCTGTCTCGACAAACAAAAAAACCAAAACAAAACAAAGTTCTCCCCATCATTGTCTGCCCTCTCTTTCCTTAGTCCCCACCCAAATACTCATTATCATGATTTAGTCAAAACAGGGCTCAGAGCCATCTGATGTTTTTAGTAACTTAAAATAACCCCATTTAACTTTCTAAATTACATTTATTTAGTGTATGTGTGGTGTGTTGTGTTGTGTTGTGTTGTGTTGTGTGTGTATGTAGCATAGGGCACATGTGGAGGTCAGAGGGCAACTCGTTCCTTCCACTATGTGATGTGAGAGCCCACAGAGGTGTGTATATATATCGATTTATTAAGGGATGGGATGGGGAAACAGGCTCACTGATACAAAGCAAGGTGGACGTGCTGCGGGTCCGCTGCTGATCCAGCTTCTGTTCTCCTCAAGGCCAGTGGGGACCAACAAGCCACTCCCTGCCGCCTGACCCAGTCTGCTCACCCCAAGAGAGAGTGTCACCCCTTCTCTCTCTCCTACTAAGCAGTCAAGTACCGCAAGACAAGAGGCTTGTACCCCAAAACTATTGGCAGAATGAATTCCCACAACTATGTGAATCCCAGGGATTGACCTCATTATCTGGCCAGGAGCAAGAATCTTTATTTACTAAGCTATCTCACCAGGCTTTAGAGTTTTTTGTTTTTGTTTTTAACTCCATCCCACTTTCTAAAGTGGCCTCACTATTTACCCCCTCAGAACAATGTACAAGGTAGAACTATATTATCCCCCCCCCCCTCATTGGTTATGTGACATTCCATAACACAGAATTTTCTTCTTATTGTTCCTGTTTGTGCATTCCTTTATTCCCTTAATAATTACTCCAGGCCGAATACATGACATGAGGGAAGTCACAAAAGACACTTCCACAAACATCCTCATATAATTAAAAAAAAGAAAAAAGGAAGAAAAAACCTTTTCCTATTGCTTAGGCACGCTTAGAAAGGACATAGGGTGATCCTTAGATAAACAACCAAGTGGAAACTCGATAAAATTTACTGGTTAAATACCTGACTTCAGGTATAGTAAAAGCAGATTAAAAAGAAGATAAGTACTATAGATGTATTTTTTTCCTGCCTCAATCAGTTTGTTTTATCAAACCAAAGAAATATTTGTAGACGCTGATTTACAGTGTGGTGCAGCTTAGAAAAGGCAACCGACATGAACCATTACCTACAAGCTGTCCTTCCCCTATCTTCTTCCGAAACAGGGTCTCCGAGTGCAGTCCAGGCTGGCTCTGACCTCCTGGTCCTCTTATGTAATCCTACTCAGGACTTGGATTACAAGTATGTACCACCACACCCAGCCCTACCAAACAAACCCTACCACACCTTTCTCTCAGAGACACCGATCCCCTACCCCCACCCCACCCCACCCCCCTGTGGGAGGCCTCCAGCTCACAAATCTAGTAAACACTTTATCACTGAGCTTGATTTCCAGCTCCTTACCCTCCTTTAGAAAGATCATCAACATCCTTTATGTTTAAAGAGTTATTTATTTTTATGTGAATGGGTGTTTTGCCTGGTGCCTATGGAGGCCAGAAGAGGGTGTCGGGTCCCCTGGAACTGGAGTCACAGATGGTTGTTGGCCCACCTTACAGGTGCTGGGAACGGAACCTGGGTCCTCTGTTAAAGCAGCCAGTGCTCTTAACCTCTAAGCCATCTCTCCAGCCCAAACAAGCAACATTTTTGAAAGTTGATAAACCATGATTTAGTTAACTTGATGCACTGCAAGAAAAGGTAAATTGAAAGAAAGAAAAAGAAGTCACCTCTTTGGTGTCAAGTCATTGTCAAAACATAGGAGGCATTGAGACAAACAATCCGCTTTCTTTTTAAAAGTTCGTTTGTTTTTATGTGTACGAGTGTTTGCCCTCGTGTATATCTGTGCGTCATTCATATGCAGGGCCCACAGAAGCCAGAAGAGGCCACTGGAGCCCCTAGGGCTGGAGTTACAGACAGTTGTGAGCTGCCGTGTGGGTGCTGGGAACTGAACCCCTCTTCTTCTCCGTAAGAGCAGCCAGGGCTCACTCTTCACTGCTGAGCCATCTCGCCAGCTGCACACTTCGCGGTTTTTTTAGTCTGTGAGTATCACAGAGAAACTACACAACGCTCATTCATAAATACACTCTTACTCCTTTGTCTTTTTTTTTTTTTTTCAAGACAGGGTTTCTCTGTGTAGCTTTGCGCCTTTCCTGGATCTCACTCTGTAGACCAGGCTGGCCTTGGACTCACAGAGATCTACCTGGCTCTGCCTCCTGAGTGCTGGGATTAAAGGCGTGCGCCACCACCACCCGGCTGTCTTTGTTTTTAAATCTTTTAGAGTCAGGGTCTCATGTAGCCCAGGTTGGCCTGAAGTCCCTATCTATGGAGGAGTTTGGTCTTGAAGTCTGCTCCTTCTGACTCTGCCTCTCAAGAGCTAGGATTATGGGGGTGTCCCACCACATCCAGCTTTATTTTTTGGAAGAGTCAAGACAGGACAGCCACCTGAAGCACAAGGGGACCGGATGTCCCAAGCTGCCCATTAGACAGCCTTGCGCACAGCGGCCCATGAAGAATTCAAACCCTGCAACAGTGCACACAGGACTCAAGGCTTTGGGGCTTTCAAAACTTCATCCAGGTACATAGTTCAAAAAACCCCAGCATGTCATTTTTTCTGAGTTCTGTAGAAATGTTTACGTATCCCTACCTCCCTGTTGTACAGATATTTGAGCCATGAAGTAGGGAGTCGGTCACCCAAATTCACCTACATAGAATCCGGACCCTCTGTGTCACCCATGGATCAGGCACTAAGCTTCTGCATTACTTCTGTGGTTGTCCAGAAAAAAAAAAAATTGTTGGTTCAAATTTCCATTTACTCGGACAGCATGCTAGCAAACCAATCCATTTCTATTGCCTTCTGGGCAAAATGCCTGGGCTTTGTAAATGTAAAAAGGAACTCCTTATTGAAAAGGAAAAATAAACCCAAGGAAAAGAAAGTTCATTGCTGATGCTCTTTTCTGGATTCCTAGCTTCCTGGGGCTTAAAAACAAGCGCTTTCTCCACAACAATGATGTCTAGCCTGTGGTTAATTGCGGGAACATCTCATTTAAACTTCTCTATTGTGACATCATCTCAGAGCTGTCAGCCTGGGACCTCCCTCACATGAGTTCTACTATGCTACCATTAGGTTTAATGATTATTGACACAAATGATATCCACACTAAATACCAGAAATGTTTACAATTATTTTTGTTGATTATATGTTAATCTCCATAGGGCAGTCTGTGCAATCCTACACAGATGCACCCCAAACACGAAGGGAAGTAGATACTGTCATAAAAAAAAAAAAAAGCATTTATATCAGTTAAACTCATTAAAGGTTCAGCCGGTTCCCTGGATTCCTAGTTAGACCCTCTTCTCGAGACCACGGTTGACTTTGAAAACTATCACCAGGTGTGGAAATGGTAACTCCAGGGAAATGCCAAGCTTTGACCAATTTTAGTCAGAGACAACCCTTCCTACAACCTAACTGCCGAGGTCATCAGAGAAACCGCTTATAGCCACTTGTGCCCCCAAGGCAACAGAAACGCACAAGTCCATTTAAGTAGAGAGTCACTCTTTCAGTGATCATTCTGGTTCCGGTTTCTCGTCCTTGCCAAAACGCAATTCACCTAACGGGGCAAATGACAAGGTGGTTAGCATCATTAGCCTCATTAGGAGCAAGCACCCTTCCAGCTCACCTAGAGGTGCCACCAGGCGCGGTGACTAACCTCGCCGAGCGGTCTTGTGATGTTTGGAAACCCACCTCCTTGACCTAGGCGGGGCACCACCCCTTGAGTCAGCGCGGGTGCCCCCGACCCGCACACGTCGCAGTCGGGAAGCAGTTTCCGAAACCCGAGGAGGTGCGGAGGTGGCTTATCCCTTCCCGAGCCCCACCCCTGAAAGTTACTGGGAGCGGCACCCAGAGAACTTTCCCAGATCGATCCCCGCCCGCGTTCGGGGAGGTCTGCCCGGCTCTGCGCTCTCAGCCTGCGGCCCGGAGCCACCTCGTGCTGCCTGCCAAGCCCCTCCTTCGCTGCATCTTCTAGGGCCGCAGAGGGGAGGGTCGGCTAGAATCGCCTCCCGAAGAAGTCGCACCGGTTTTTCGTGCTCGGCTGGACGCCGGGAAGAGACACGACCGCGGGAGCCCGCGGGAGCTTCGGGCCCGGGGTGAGTCACGGCTGGGAGCAGGGGAGGGCAAGCGAGAGTGCGAGAATGAATGATGTCAGGAGCGCGCAGGGCACGGGCTGGGGAGGGAGGGAGGGAAGGAGGGAGGGCGCGGGATGGAGAGGGAGGGAGGGAGGGAGGGAGGGCGCGAGCTGGGGAGGGCGGGCCCGCGGTAAACAGAGCTGCGCGCTGCCCCGGGCTCCGCCGGCCGGAGACCCCGCCCTCGGCGCCGCTGGAGCCGCCCGGAGCCCGGTTCGCTGCAGCGCGGGGACTGCGGCCTGGGGCGGAGCGGCTTCTAAAGCCAGCGAGACCCGCGCAAAGTTTGCAGCTCTCGGGCCCGGTCCCCTGGGTCCTCCGCGCCCAGCGAGCGCCCCCGGCGTGCGAGCACCGGCTGCGAGCGGTGAGCGCCGGGCCGGGAGGAGGATGGGCTGCGGGCTGCGCGTCCTGCGGAGCGCGTGGGGGACGTGGCTCCAGCGGGGACGTGGCTCTGACCGCCACCGCCTCCCCCAGGCCGCCCCGCCCCGGGCATCCTTCCTCAGTGTTCATCTGCTGGGGGTCAGCTGGTGGCTGTCTCTCCTCCCAGCCTGCTGCTCATTCATTTGTAACCCATTTTCGGGTACTTGGTGGTGGCGTTGAAATGGCACAGGTTAAACCGTTGATTGTACAGTGCCACTCTGGAGGTCAGGGTTGAAGTTCAGGTGGCGAAGGAGAGACTGTCACTTGCTGAAGATCTGTGCACAAGACCAGCTCCGGGCTGCCCAAGGGGACCTCTCTGCCTTTGGCGTTCAGACCCGCGCCCCTCGACCAAGGGAGGGGGTTTGTCAGCACAGAGAGGTGGGAGTGGACCTACCCCGTCACAATCTGTGGGTCCGGTGATCGTTCCGTCTCAAAAGCAAATACTTCAAATGTTATTTCCTGTAAGCTTTTATTAATACGCCGTTCCTCTATTTCAAGACCTGCTTATTCTAAAATGACCTTAAAATAATTTTGACATGTTTTTGAAATTCTGGAGAGGTTCAACTCTACTCGTCAGTGGGTTCACGTGGACTTTGAATCTTACTTTAACTGTTCCGTTCTTTGGTTTTCACTCCTAGCTTCATCTACTAACCCCGAACCCTCGGTTACATTGACCATCCGGAACCTGTAAAATGAGATTAGGACTACTTCAAACAGTAACGAGTATTAAATAAGGATTAATGAGGTTAGTGATTGAGGATGCAGGCACAAAAGTCGGATCATAAACGTCCTCTCCAAAGCAGACTCCACTAGCTCTAACTGTTGACTTGTAAATAATGGCAAGTTCCAGGTGGCTTAGGTAAACGCCAGTTTCCCTCTGAGGAACCTGTCGGGCCCGGGTTAGCACGTGAAATGCTGTGTCTCCTCCCTTGGAGTAGGAAGGGAGGTTTTCAGGAAGTCAAATGTTTCAGGGTGGATACCTAAGAAGGTTTTGTCCCCACCTCTGTTGTGAGAGCTAGTAAGTAGTTTAAGAGCCGTCAAAGCCGCCGGGCAGACAGAATGAGACGCCTGGACTTTGCAGGAAGAAGGTATTTGTAAAGAACTCTCTAGCATTTCTTTCTTTCTTAATAAGAAGCAAGCAAAATTCGTTTTTTGTTTGTTTTGTTTATAGCCCACTTCCTTGGTCCACTGATGGTCTTATTTCATACTGCTCTCCCAGCTGAAGTTTTTGGTTTGTTGTTGTTTTTTTAAAGCAAGTTAATATTTAATTTGCTGTTGTTAGTTTCATTTTTAAATCAAGCTGGTTGACCTCTGAACCTGTAGAGAAACTCAGGAACACCTGTAAGTAGGCTGTTTGACTGTGTTCGGAGTTTCTTTTTCCCAGAGCTTAGTAAAAGCCCTAGGAGGTATTTGGAAGGATCTGAAATGTTTGCTCTGAAATCTATAACACTGAGGCTGGGGAGGGGGCTGTGGCCATGGGGAAGCAGAAGACCAAGGTGGTTGCCAGGCCGTGGGCCCGCTCCGCTACTCTGAGAGTCACACTCTCACGTTCTGGGGGACTTCAAACAAACTATACAGAAATTGCCTTGCATTTGTTAAAATAGACAGTGACATACAGATTGTGACCTTTTTCTGAAGTGATACCTTGAGGCTGTATTTGGAGGGAAAAGGAGGGAGGGGAGGAGAAGGGAGGGAGGAGGAAGGGAGAGAGAGTGTGTATGTAAAGAGTCAGTCTTACTGTGTAGGGCTACCTGGCCTTGAGATCCTCCTGCCTCAGTCTCCTCAGTGCTGGGATTTCAGGTATGCACTGCCATGCCCTCTGCCCCCCCCCAAAAAAAAACAATTCCTAAGAATTCTGGACTAAAGAAAGAGAAGCTTTCTTTCATCTTCTGGTGGGATCAAATCCTGAACTACTGGTATCGGGTAGTCATTCAACTCATATTTATTAAGTCATTCAGCTTAATATATGCCACCACTGGTATATATAACAATGCTGAGATCATGGAGATTCTGTTACTGCCTTGTGACTTAGTCCAGTAGACTACAACCCAAGTATTATGGGGTCAAAAAGCAGGAGGGTTGGGGGCCGGGAGGAAGCAAGAAATGACTGAGCACTGCTGGGCTGCCTTCCTCGTGGCCTTCTGATGGTTCTTGAGTTGGGTTGCTACATTCTCGTGTGGCTGAGCTACTATGCAGATATCTTGCTTTACCTAATAAAAGTAGTATTGACAAATTAATTTAAATAATGTAAAATAATTTTAAAAAGGAAATATGAAGGGTAAGTTAGCTCAGCCAAGATATATCCCCTCACCCCCTTATTTTTTTTGTTTTTTCGAGACAGGGTTTCTCTGTAGCTTTGGAGCCTGTCCTGTGCTGAACACCAGGCTGGCCTTGAACTTACAGAGAGAGATCTGCCTGCCTCTGCCTCCCAAGTGCTGGGATCAAAGGCATGCGAAACCACCTGGTTGATTTATTTCTTTTTAACAAAGCCCTAAAGTAGAGCTTTAAAAGGATTGCCATTGTGTCTCAATTTCCCCACATCCTGTTTTCCCTCATATTAGAAGTAATGTTAAATATTTAGAAAAATGGGCAGAATAAACCTATCACCCTGCAAACCACTTACCACTGTGCCTTCCTGTGTTTTACGGTGTGCATGTGTAACAGCAAGTGTTAATGTGCATTGAGATGAGCTGATTTCGGTAACTGCTCCCCACTACAGCCTTGTGAGGTGGTACTCTTGTGTATGCGTGTTTTGCTTGCGTGAATGTCTGGGCACCGCATGTATGCGGTGCCCATGGAGGCCAGAAGAGGAAGAAGGATCCCCTAGAATTTAGAGTTACAGATGGTTGTGAACCTTCCTTCATGTGGTTGCTGGGAAGCAAACCCGGGCCCTCTGGAAGAGCAGCCAGTGCTCTTAACCTCTGAGCTGCCTCTCCAGCCCCAAGGTAGACATTCTTTAACCTTGTATTAGGGGAAAAGGGTTCTGTAGCAGTTACTTAACTTCCCAAAGTTGCACAACTGGAAAGCTATTCTCTACAAAACTAGGTTTATTTTCTACAGATTTTAACTTTCCCCCCAAACTCGGTTATAAACATCTCTTATGTCACTGAAAAATCCTCATATAACAGATGTCTTTTTTAGTTTTCTGAACCAATCTCCTATTGTGGGACACCAAGTATGTTTCCAGTTTTCACTGTTTCTAAAGATTTCTTTTTAATTACGTGTATGTATGTGGGTCTGTGTGGGTGTATATGCACATGAGTACTGATGCCCTCTGGCCAAAGGCATCAAATCCCCCTGGAGCTAGAGTTGGTTGTGAGCCTCCCAATGTGGGTGCTAGCAATCACACTTTGTATACCTACTCTTAACTGCTGAATCCCACGTTTTCACTATTTTTTTAGAAGCTTTGCATTAAACACTGATATATAACATGGTTATTTTTCAGTTGCTTTGCTTTTTAAAAAGTGAAATCTATTTAACTTAACTGTTTTCTCAAAAGGCCATTTTTGGAATTAGAAAAATGTTCTGTTGTTTATTTTTGAATCTTTGCTGAAGATCAAACCCAAGGGCTTACAACATGCGAGGCATGTGCTTTTATTATCAACATGCATCCCTAGTCCCTCTCCTTTCTTTTAAATCTCCCTTGCATGTTCCTCAACGCTATGGGCTTGAGGATCAGCCTTGGCTGAGCTGCCCAGCAGGGTACTGGTTCTTTACTCTGGGGATTATCTGACTAAAAGAGAACATTCCAGCTTTCTGAAAGAACTGTCTGTGTTTTTATTATTAGTCATGAAGCTAACCCTATTTTTTAAGGAAACAGAGCAGGGAAGAACCGTGTTAATTTTGTCAGGCAGCTCTGAAAAAGAAATTTCATTTCTGCAGTCACACCATCAGTACCAGTGAGATAACAGTAAATATTTTCAGATAGTGTATTTATATTATTATAATTAGTATATTAGCTTTAGGATAAATTGCATCAATTTTTTTTTAATCTATCTGTCTGTCTATCCATCCATCCATCTATTTATTTATATTTTTGAGACAGGGTTTCACTATGTAGCTCTGGGTGTTCTAGAACTCACTATGTAGCCCAGGTGGCCCTTCAACTCAGAGATCCACCTACCTCTGCTTCCTGAGTGCTGGGATTAAGTAGGTCACTTTTTCAAAAAGTTGGTGTGTCGTCCGTATGACATTGTCAGGTTGATTTAATGAAAATGCAAGA